ACGCTGTTTTTTTCCTCCCTCATATACTAAGCCATTTTAGCCACTACTTTTTGTTATGCACGGCTACTGTCAGTAATTAGCCTCTTTTTCGTCTCACCCACAAGTTCCCATTCTATTTATGAGATGCGTCGAAAAACATCCGCCTCTTGAACTAATGTGGTGGACTGTTAATGATGAAATCTCAAAGCAATTTACACGTTTGGAAGTGTAGTATACCAAAGGGAAGGAGTTTCGTTTTATTCTGCTTTATCTGAATCTTGCGACCTATACAATAATTAATCTTAGTTTAAATCAATACCCTTGCGACCAGATTAATAAAGACCGTGCAGGACAGCATGACAAATGCGCGGTTGGGGTTCCCATTCATTCTATTTGCAATGCTCCGTTTTCCCCAAAATAAAAATATTGCATTGAAGCTGGTATACACAAAGTTGGTTGGTTTGAAAATACAAGTAATTGAAATTTAACTTTATTATTAGTTTGTGTGATTTATTTGTCGTGCTTTTACGAATGAATAGCGAAGTTTTTAATCAAAATGGATATTTTCACAATTGTTCATTTCATTCGTTTCTAAAAATTGCACACTGGTTAAAGAAACCGTTGATATTTAATAAAACAGAAAGTTTCGTGCTTCGATTAGTTCCTGTAATGAAAATAAATCAAATTGTGCCGCAATTCCAGATGATCTGATTAATTACGTTTTTTACGAGTTGCGAATTCATCTAGGACGGGTTTTTTCCTAGAGAAAAGGCTATCAACAAATTCAAATTCGGAAAATTAATACGTACTTTACTCAATAAGGAGATAACCAAAGTTTCCAAAAACTCGCTTTCGGAAATCAGTTGACGAAATCTCCATACGTGCTTCCAAAGTAAATTCGTTTTTGGAGGAATTCAACTCGACCACAAGAAAATGGTATTCTCATAAAAACCCTTGGAATCTTATTTCAAGAAATAATTGCCAAGTAATCGAGCTCGAATCTTATCTAGGATACCAGGGATATCAGGGAGTGAATTTTCCTTAAGGGCGAGTTTTCACAGAGGCAAATATTCCGAAGGCCAACTAACCTGTTTTGAATTTTGTTCATTGCGAATATTCCGATTAGGTTCGATTTTTCCGGGACGATTTTTCTGGCACAGAATAAGTACATTATAACAGCAAATATTCCTATATAATATATTGCTCATGATTAATAAGCTAATAAAAAAAATAGAAAAGCTTCCTCCAAAAAAATTCGCTCACGAAAACTAATATCTTCAAAATATTCGTTCTCAAAAAAAATATGCCCCCTCAGTTCCTAGGAAAATTCAGTAGGTACAACTTCACCCCAAATAAAATCGCCCTGAAGAGCCATGTATTGAAATCTGTATTTTCTTCTATTTCTTCGGCAGGATATAATAATTGCAAATCGAATATTTGTGCGGAACAGCGTATTCTGAGCGCCGAACGAATTCTTCTTGAGGGGTGAGTATTTCTTAGGGAGTTTGTCGTGAGGGCGAATTCATGTTCAAGAAAACTGACCGCAAAGGAAAATGCCCAAGCAGAAAAACCCTTGAACTACTTGCCATGCATAAAAGAACAACTGCCATATTCCTTTCTATTTCCGTCGCATTAATTATAACTCAACACTGCTTATTAATACGAACGGGTGGGAAAAATATAGTTCCGCAGTGAGTCGAATTTTCTTTGAAAGCGAGATTTCATAGAGGCAAACATTTCGAAGGCGAACTTTCGTAAAAGTTGAAGCAAACGGAAATGCCTTAGAAGGAAAATCCTTTAGATCTGTCATATTTCGTTTTTCTTCTAATTAAAGCTGCGTATCACGATTCTGCCCAAGATTTGTTTCCAATCGGTTCAGCCGTTTATTGGGAAATAGGAGTACAGACAGACAGACTCCTATAAGAGGAATTGTTCTGACATGATGTTTGGTACTGAGCAAGTTTTTGCCATTCAATTCACCTTTTGTGTGAGCCCTCCCCCCCCCCCCCCAGTACCTCCTTAAGCACAACCCATACTGACGAAATAATTTTAAATTTAAACTACCCTCTATCATTAAGGGGGATCTCACACAGTTCAGTTATGAGCGTTTGCAGAGGTTTCATAGAAAAATTCCCCAGACTTTAGTTTCAATCACTTAGTGCTAAATGATACACCGATCTCTTCGCAAGGAAATTTGCGATGTTTCTATAGTAACGCATTTTTCAAATTTATTGCAATATCAAGTGAAATATCGTGTTAAATATAGCCAAAATGTGTCACTTTTCATACGTAGAATTTTGCATTATGGAAATAAATAATGGAAAAAGTGTTACTATAGAAACATAGAATTATCCTTCGTCTTTTGAACAAAAAAAAATTGAAAAGATCTGTAAAGAAATACGGCCGTGACAATCTTTCCACGAAACGTCTACCGTGTATGGATTGTATGAATTTTACTTGCTGTTGAGTAGCGCCATGCAATCCGAGTTTTAAAACTAAACTGGACGTATTAAGATCATTTTGTGAGAAGGAATATTTCATTTGTCAATTCTAAATCAGAGACTACTTGCAAAAGGATTAACAATTTTAGTTCAAAATGCGTCTTCATTTAATGATTTAAGTGCAAATCGAGAACACCTCACTCCAGCCAAGGATAGTCTAGATCAGGCGTGGGCAACCTTTTTTTCCAAGGGGCCAAAATAAAATTTTTCATATGCGCCACGGGCCACACTTGAAAATCCAAATAAAAAGTATGTTTACAGAAATCAATATTTATCTATTTCTTTTTGGTCTATATCTATTTTTTGCTTTCGTAAAAATCATTTTAAAAAAACAATAAGCACTCTTGAAAATTGACACGATTTTGCATACAAAATTTACCAGACGTGGATAATAAATCCCCATATTCAGCTTGTATCCAAATTTTCATTTATGCTCTTTAAGATTTGTTGCAATATATGGCTTAAAAATGTTGTTTAATCCCAAAACACCTGTCCTTGTATTGCCCCACCCCGTATATATCGCGAGGAAAATTCTGGAAAATACCTGGCGATATTTCTGAAACCAGAAATGCATCTTTAACTAGGCTTTTAAACGCCTTGGAAGCTTCGGATCGCGTCCACTAGATGCTGCACTTGTAACATAATCATATTAATTAATTAATTAAAATGTAACTTGTGGGCCCTATGAAGTATTAACTCTGAATTATGTTAGCGGGCCGGACAAAACTTATCGGCGGGCCGAATCTGGCCCGCGGGCCGTAGGTTGCCCACGCCTGGTCTAGATAGTGCTCATAAAATTGAATTAAAAATAAAAATAATTAGCAGTTAGTGTAGTGTATTAAATGTAAAATAAATAAAATTATAAATTATAAAATTGTAACATACAATCAGAGCTGGGCAGTGGGCAGTATTCTACGTTGTAAATACTGTGTAGTATTCAGTTACTTTCGAGTACATATTCAAATACTTTATAATTAAATAGGTACTTTTATGGAAGCAGTATTTGTATTCTCAACTAAAATACTTTAACATATATTTTTTAGTGTTCAAATACTTTACAAACAATCCGCATATTTCGCAAAGTATTCTAATACTTCACTAACAATCCAATACTTTTCAAGTTAGTGAAATACTTTGAGAACTATTTAAATATATATATTAAATGGAAAGTATTAAATACTGTCAGAAGGATTTAAATATTATTCGACAGAAATTCCCCTTATGTGATGGTTTTGTGCGCCCGTCTGTCTGTCTGTTCCTCGTCTAATTGGAGAATGGAAAGAGACAGGGATGTCAAACCTTCACCAATCTATTTCTATGACTTTAAAGATCAATGCTATTGAATATGAGCTGAATTAAAAGTGTTATTTCCAAATCCGAGCCGAGTGTCAAAAAATTCCCCTATTAAGAATCGTACGCGATACTTCATATGTTGTTTAACGATCGCCATGAGTTTATAATTTCGTATTACTGTGTCTATCTGTCCGTGTGCATAATAACTTTGTTTAGAAACGTCAGATCGCTTTAAAAATTGGTACTCATGTTCGTAAGGGTATAAGAAAGGTCGCTATTGTTTCAGTTACGAAGTTCTAAAAATAGTGGATGCGTGAACATCTCGAGGATCATTCGGTATTCGACTGTATCGAATTTCGAGATGTGATGATAACGATATTGTTTCAAGCCACTGCAGCACGATATGATAAAACTAGTATTTTTAATAGATGCATACATACTGTTTAATCACCGTAATAGGCTACTAAATGTAATCACCCAAAATAACATCAAGTGATCATGATGATGATGGATAATCTTTTTAATTTTTCAAGTATTTGAGTGAAGTATTTGAATACTTTTGACTATATTTGAGCACTTGTCAAAGTAATGAAACACTTTTTAAAGTATTCAAATAGGTACTTTTGATAGAATAAAAGCCGTTTAAATAAAATTGATGAATTATCAACTTCGGCATGACCTTTAGTTTTCAAACTAAGCGATGCAGGAATAACTCGATAGTACGAAGCTAATGCAGTACTCCCGAAGGCTGTTTATCTAGTCTTATCTAATCTCGCTTCATGTAGATATCGGTAGGTCTATGAAAGGCACTCGAACGAGTTTTGAGTATAATAAAGTTTAGTATATTTTTGGGGACGTTCACCTCGCCCCCATTAATTTTCTATTTATTTTTAAACCCAAAAAAGGCGACATAAATACCCAATAGAGCACAATTGGACCACAGTAGACAGAAAAGCTAACAGGGGGGAGGGGGCACATTTATATTGTAACCTTCACTTACTGTAGAAGAACGCGTAAATTCTTTTTTTTTTTTTTTTTTTTTTTTTTTTTTTTAAGGCTTTCGGGATCTTGCCCATTTTAGCCTACATTAGGGAAACCAGAGGACTAAACAAGGATTTATACGTTTCACGCTTTGGGGCCGATCAAAGCGACTTCACACAACACATAGGTAGGCCACGGAAGGTTGGTACTTGGTAGCACATAAGGATGACATAATACGGGTTACAATTACAACGGTAGTTTACTTGCAGCTACAAAACGGACTAAAATGTCATAAACTCCCTTATCGTTGGTACTTAGAATTGTTGGTACATCGAGAGGGTGTGTCAACCCCAGCTTGAGTAGGCCTTCCATCATGATATTCGTGTAATTTGTATTCTGCGGACAGGCGAGAACTAAATGATTCAAATCTGCTACCTCATAATTACAAAACGTGCACTGTGCCGAGGGAATCAAATTTATTCTGTGCAAATGTGTTGGAAATCTACCGTGCGCTGTTTTTAGCCTGACTATGCTTGATTGATAAAATCTATTGGATTTGTAATTATAGTAACACGGATTGATTGTTATTGAGGGCATTATACGGGTAGGTATACTGCGTGGGTCTTCTAAGGCATCGCTCTCTCCACTCGGCTTCCCATTGCGTTCGAAGAATTTGCTGCTTCATGAATGCCGTTTCATCCTGTTTGGACTGCGGGATGTTTAAAATGATTCCCGACTCCACAGCTCCTTTCGCCAATTTGTCCACTGTTTCGTTGTGGCTTATCCCAATGTGAGCTTTAATCCAATAAAAATAAATTTCAATACCTTCTTTACGGAGGCGGGCCACATTCGTGAGTATATCTAGGATATACGGGTTGGTACTGTAAAAATTAGTTTTGTTGTCCAAAGCTTTTAGTACACTAAGGGAGTCGCTCATCACAACAAGCTTTTTCGTGACTACCACATGAATTTCTCTTAACGCATAGGCAATGGCTGTTGCCTCCGCCGTGAAAGTAGATGCGTTCCCATTCAACTTAAATACGTTCTGTTGTCCTGAGGGTTGTATAAGGTAAGCACAACCGCAGCCATTCTCACCCTTTGAACCGTCCGTGTAAATAAAGAGAGCGTGTTGGTGTGTTCTAATAATTGACTGGTGTAGAAGATTATCCAAAGACGAAATACCTTGATATGGTGGGAAGGTGACTTGAATCTCCGAAATATAGTCGGTGTAATTAATGTCTTTACTGATAGCGCCTTCACGGAGGATAGCGATGTCAGACAGATTTCTAGATGCTGTTGCCAAAGGGGGAGCATTTTTTAACCGCCAATACAGGTTAACCAAATCTTGCACAGCCAACTCCGATAATTTTGGTAAAATCTTAGAATTCTGAGATTTGCACTTCAACACGAATTTAGAAGCCAGGAAGTTTCTTCTGATGGACAGTGGAGGTTCCCGTGCTTCCACCTGTACTACGTCTCCTGGACAAGAGCACATTGCCCCCATGCAAAGACGTAGTGCCTTATTAGATACCGCGTCCAGACGTTTTAAATTTGAGTTCGAGGCACAGCCATACAAGATACATCCATAGTCAAGCAGACTTCTAACATACGCTTTGTAGATCTTTAAGTTAGAGTGCATGTCGGCACCCCAATTAACTCTGGAAATCATCCTAATCAGATTAATGCCCCTTTCACATCTACCTATCAACTTCTCTATATGCGGTCTCCACCTTAATTTAGAATCGAGAATCATACCAAGGTAAGAGATTTCTGAAGTTATTTTAAGTTCAACCCCCATCCATCTTAGCGAGCCTGTGGGCAAATCTCGATGCCGTGAAAAAAATATCGTTTGGAGCTTATCCACCGATAGATCGAAACCATTATCAAACAGCCACCTTTTTATGATCTTGAATTTAGCTTTTAATTGCTGCAATACGAGTTTTGTTGATTTATCTGTGGTATAAATGCAAAGATCGTCCGCATATTGGCATGCGTTGATATTAGGACTCCACATTCTGTAGAGATCCACACAATACATATTGAACAAAAGGGGACTAAGAGGCGTAAATTCTTGTATCAGTTATTCCGAAAAGTCAAGTTATTGATGTTGGTGCGCATTAATTTCAGTATAATATTTTGAGATGAAATAGACATGTTCGTCAATTTATTCGGAAAGATAACATGAGAAAAGGTTTGCAAGGTAATATCCTCGGTAATATTCAAAGACGTTTAAACATATCAACGATGTTGTATATTATTTTAAACAAAAGTTGCTTGAAATTTGCATACAGGGTGGGTCATTAGTGCGTAGGTGGAAGATTGTGGGTTTATCAACGCGGCTACAGCCTAAAAATATTTTCGCCGAATTTGCTATTGTTATACACGATTTATATCAAAGTTGCATTTTTTTAAAATAGTTGTTGCAGATTTTGATTCCTTGGTCAATTTGTATGTATTATGCATGATATCTAAAATCCATCGTTTAGCCGCAATGGTGATTTTTTAAAAAGTAGATGTGAAGTAACAATGCGATTAAAAGGCCAGGACTGCATGAAATGTACTACCATTCGCCGAATACGGTCAATGTTAAATTTTTTTGTGTTAAATAAAACCACTGCGTCAATGTTCAAAATTTCAATCACAGTTAACTTGATTTTTATTAATAGAACTACTATTTTTTTATTGCATCAATTGTAGGATTTGATTACCTTTCCAACGATATAAGCATGTCGGTATTTACCTACCTTTTACATATTTTTTTGTAATTCAACAATTTCTGATAGGTATAATTCATAGTGTTTTTCCCTGTGTTTTTCGATTTTCAAAAGCTCTCAGTAATTAGTAGGCCGTTAAAAATTATGAACAGTAACCACCAATTCAAATTATAAAACATTTCCCTGCAAACAAAATAAAACAAAAGAGACTCAGAAACCACTTCACTTCCTCAAAGTATCCACCTAGCAGAATATTTATTGATTTAGTCATTCTTTAACGTTGAGGGAAAATGAGGTGAATCACCATCGTGGTGAAACCACATTTCTTTTATTATGTGCACCGAAACATTTTGAAGACCATCAAAAAGTACTTAAATATTTATAGTAAACAAGTAAAAAGCACCGTTTAAATCACTTTTTTCAAATTCCATTTTTCTAATAAACTTAACTAATCAACAATGCTAATGAACCAACCAAACTGACAAATCAAATCCTACATTTGATGCAATGAAAAAAAACTTGGTAGTTCTATTTAACAAAATCAATTTAGCTTGTGATTCAGATTTGGAAAAGTGATTTTTAACACAAAAAAGTGTAACTTTGAGCGTTAGTACATTTCATGATTACTAACACTGCAAAGTCACGGACTTAAAAGTTTTATGATAATTGTGATAACTATTCAATTTTTACTGGACATCTACTTTTAAAAAAATGACGAATTGCAGTTAAACGACTAATTTTAGATATCATGTATAATATTAAAATTGACCAAGGAATTGATATCTGTATTAACAGCGAATGCAATTTAAAAAATGCAACTTTTGATATAAATCAAACTGTATAACAATTGGAAATTCGGTGAAAATATTGTTAGGTTATCAACATGCTCCGATAATGAATTTTAAACATGTGCGTTAATAAACAAACCAAAACAACATTCCTCCTATCAGTTAAACATACTGGATTTTGTTGCATTGGATTGTGCGCTTTATACGTGTCCTGAAGCCGTCTCTGCTCATGAAAATTTAAACTCAAGATGCATGATCGAACAGAACCGCGGCTTGTAGTGTTGCTTACGAGTGCATAAGGACAACCCACATATAAACCATATTATGCACTCCTCATGCCCCTGAGAAACTTCGGCCGACTGTAAGATCAGCCTTAATCACGTTCAGGAAAATTCTACTTCCTAAAAAAGTTTGCGTTGAGGAAATCGTTGCTATGATTCTTATATATTTAATTTTGAGTGCCCTTCTGTTATTACCTAGGGGGTACGGCTCTGCTCCTCGTTAAGGTTGGCATTAGGAGCGGTTGCCACGGATACACTCACTCAGAGAAAACGGAAGCTTCCGAATTCGGCGGGAGGTTACCTCCAGGGAAGCAACTAAAACAGAATTACGACACACGGACTAACGGAACGCTAGCAACAAAAGCATAAATTAATTAGCGGTAGCTGCGGGAAATCAAATGCGGGAAAAACCTCCCTTATAATTAACGGAAGAAAGATAACAAATACTGGCCTTTAAAGTTAACGGAGCGGTGAAAAGAAGGAATTCTAAATATGCACGCGACCTCACGTGAAACACATTCTGCAAGTTGTTTTTCCTATTCCCATACGCCTATGCAGAAGAATTTCAACCTACAATCCTACTCTGAAAGATGTCCAGTAAGCATTTCACTTATGACGATCTGTTAATTGGTGCATTAAATCTTTTTTCCAAAGAGATTGGTACTAATATCATATTCTGGTTTCGCAGTCAAAGTTGTTTAGCATTGAATTTATGACGTTATTTGTATTTCGCACGGTAGATTTAATTTTTTACGTTGAAGGTGTTTGCATCTGACAGGAGAAATATCACAGAAAGCACTGGTATAACTCAAAAGGGAAATAATTTATTTCATTGTCAGTCACCATCATTCACATGGCAGACAAAAAGTTCTCATAATAATGTATTTTAAATTGAAAAAATATACCTCCGTTGACTAAAATTGAAAAAATGATACAAGTTTCCCATTTTAAAGCGGTCGTCTCTAATAATGTTAGGATATGTTTGATGCGTGTCAATTTGCTCACATTGTAAAGTATCCTAAAGTTGTTAGGGGATATATTTTTATGAAATTGGAAGCGCGTTTCCTTGAGTTACGAATGCTTAATGCCGATATGTGCTGCCTCCTTTGAAACTACTCAATTATTTATGCTCACCTTTTTCCAGATAACTTTCACCATTTATTTGATTAATTTTTTACTCTACTAGTAAGTGAATCGGAATTTATCCAATGGCTGCAACTCCATTACACCTTTTCTTTCGATCCAAATGTTTCTAATGAAATTTCAACCCTCGCTCTCATCTCTTTAATTTCTGCACGTCTATAAGTGGGAAACTCGGAATAATATCACCTTGTAGGTAGTCTATTATAAACAAAGCTTGACTGAGTGAATCCGTTAGTAAAATAATGTTCCAATTGGGTAATTACAACACAGACAATACTCTGTGTTAACAGTTGCGGTCTGTATGGTTAATTAGATTCAACAAAAACCATTGTAGTATAATATTGGAAAGCGTATAAGCCAGGAAGCGTAAGCTAAACTTACGATGTAAATTATGATTTAATGTTTCGGATCGTTATTAAAATATGGCTTGAGTGGAGTTTCAAATTTCAATTCAAAGTAGAGATTCGAGTTTTTACCAAACTAGAGCTTAGCAATGTTCGTTGTCTAAGGCTAAGAGCTCTAATACTTTTGGAAATCATAATAAAGTGAGACAAGACAATGGTATTTTACTAAACATCTGATTAATTTCAAACTTGAAACTCGACTCGTTTTCGAGTCGAGTCTGTTTCTTTGCTTATATAGCACCAACGCAGCAACTGGTGACGTTCCATCACGATTCTTGTTCTTTATTGCTGTTATCTCTGTGGATATAAGGGGCTTAAATTCTGATAACTCTTATTTTTTAGTTTGCGATGCACCTTTCCATTCGTACTTGGGTCGCAGCTGCTTCATTGGCTCGTAGCCGCAGTATCTTCTTAATCCTTTAATTTAACTTTCTTGTTCAATTTCTTCTGCGGTATAAGGGGCGTGACTCCATTTCTCTTTCGCAACGCACCTTTTCACTGGTACTCGGGTTCGCCTGCCTCGACAATCTTCACTGGATGACTTCGTTGTTGGCTCGAAGGACCAAGATCAATCTCGGTATGAGATCGATTGGATTTGGGGTAGAATGTAAGGTGTAAGTTTGATGTTTTGACTCCATCATTTCCAGATTTTGTCGAGGACTACCGCATTCCCTTTGTCGGTACTCACTTCCGTCGTCCCGTTCACCCGCAATTCGCACTTGGATTTTGCTAAAAACCCTCCACAAAATAGTATTTAATTTATGAGGCACTTCTCATAATAATAATAATAATAATAAATAATAATATACAACGTCAAGAACAAAGAAACACCATAATACAAGTAACGCAACATGCACTACAAAAACAGGTCCACCAATAAAGTTACACGCCCTAGCACACTTAAAAAACACATAACTCCTTCTTCACAGAAACACACCACATTGTCACAACCCACTCGTATACAACCGAAGCGCAAAAACCTTAACAGCACCACAGGCTCACAAAATACTGCAATATCTCCACCAAAAACCCAAAACAACCTCACAAATACGACCTCAGGAACAAAGAAACACCATAAATACAATTAAAAAACACAAAACTCCTTCTTCACATAAACACACCACGTTATCACAACCCACTCGTATTCAACCCAAACGCAAAGCCAAAGAAACACTTACACAATAAACTCCATTTAATAAAATTACAGAAATTATTATAATGATATTTTTGTTTTGTTTTCTTCTTTCCTGATAGCGTTGACTATTGTGGCCATTAATAGCTATGTTGGTAAGTATGAATTACATACTATCCGTAGATTTCCAATGCGAGTGTGTGAATATTTTTTTTTTTTTTTTTCTTTAGAACCCTACATAACTTCACCAGACACAGACACTAATCGTTACTTGATTTTAATCCGTGCGATTAGTTAACCAGGCTAGACCTGAGTTCTCACAAGAAACACCGACCATAATAATAATAATAATATTTATTCAAACCACTTTACAATAAATATAATTTTATTTGTGGCAAGTCAAGAGAGTTCTAGTTTCTATTGGCTACAGGAGAAAGAAAGATTCGAGCTCTAAGAAACGTTTGAGGGCCCAAAGGCGACTACCATTCGAACACGCATGCCTTGCAAAACGTGGTTAATTTTGCCCCTAGGAAAAAATACAAAATTCCGTCACGCCTCAGGAGTTGTGCGCGTTCACAAGATCTTTGACACCAATTTGAAAACAATCTGCCCAAACCGTGTAAAATTGGGGAAAACTGAAAAATTACCACATTAGTATAACACGCTCGGGGATGGCGCCCGATGTCACCGACACCACATCATATAACCTCGTCCCGAAAGTTGTTAATTACACGAGCCTGGTAGGTACACGCCTCGTCTTTATACATGCGCCGCACAAGCGGGCCTTTTTAAAATGTTTCATATCTCGCCAAGTAAATGAGATATTGAGGTGACCCTCTTATCTCGAACGTACTGTATATGTCAAGGTTGTCCCCATATAATGAAGATTCCAAAGTTTTAATTGCTATTGTTTTAACTTAATCAATCCATATCCTTAGATCTAGCATTTCAATGAATTTTCATAGGAGGAAAGCTTCTCTAAGGATTTTGTACGGGGTCTTTAATTAAGCGTACAGTTGTTTGGCTTAAACTAACAAAACCATTCAGTTTTCCATTTAGACTTTTAGAGCAAGTACCTATACAATCTTATTTTTATTATATTTTCGTAATGCAATCTCAACCCTCAGTTGGACGAAATTAGCTAAGTTTTCAATACTCTGCAAACTAAAGCAGAAGTGGACGACGTGCGTTTAGAATTTGTCAAATCCTCGGTCAAATCCTCGTACTTGTAACATAAAATACCTTTTATTATTTTCACATAGAATTTCCGTAAAACATTCCCTTAAACCAGGAATTCCTTTCATGTCAATTTTTAATCTCTTGTGACGAAAATAACGCCCATATTAAACTTTTAGATCCGTTATATTCTGAGCATACAAAAACTATTATAAGGTTCCCATAAAAACTAATTAAATCATTTTTACAACGTCTGGCGTTCCAGATTAAACGAGCTAAAAAAGTTCTCTACGCAGTGTAATTTTTAATTGAGTTTCCTTTATTACGGATTCATGGAATTTTTTTGTACCGTGCATTCATTATGCGCAACGCGCTTTATCCCAACTGTATTAGTTCATTTATCCAGTTAGCAGAGCCATTGCGCTCGAGATCCAGTTAACGTAATTCGTCACGTTGGCGTACACTCCGTAAATTCCGGGCACACCGCAGCCTTTCCCCCAGAGCACCAATCCGGCAACGTAGAATCTTCCGTTAACCTCGCAAGTTAAAGGCGCTCCACCGTCGTTCTGAAAATAGACATTGCAGCTGGTGTACTTGTTTTGGTCCAATTACCATGCAAGCGTCTCTAGAGCCCTGACCTCCAGCGCATAGTTCTCCGACGGGGTCCAAATATCGTTTTGCATTCGCTCCTAGTACAGATTCACTGCTCATTGATGCATAGCACATGTTGTAGTTTACGATGGGAACTTGGACTTGTCTCTTCTCTTGGAGCGTGTTGGTTATGACGTAACCAGATTGTCCCCAGCCAGCTACCCAGCATCTGTAGACGAATTTGTACATACTGTTGTAAGAAAGTACTCCTTACGCTTGTCCTTCAAATACTTGATGTTGCGAAGGAAGGCAGACGGAATTTACTAGCATTTGAGGTAGAGGGGTTATGGCAGCGCTCAATCTCAGAATCGCTATGTCATTAAACAGAGTTGTTGGGTTAAAGTTGGGATGGAGCAAAATTCTGTGCACGGCATGGCGTACAGTCAACTGTTGCGGATTGTGTACTCCCAAATAAACTCCGACCATTTCTGGAGACGCTCTAGAATTAGAGTGGAAGTAAAACTCGATCCCTAAAATGAAATTATTTACCCGTTCAAATACACTTTATGAGCTGCCGTCAGAATGTGATATTCGTTGATTAAAACCCCGCTTCCCGCGTATCCTGTTTGGTTAACCAAGTAAACCTGCCAGGGAAATGCTCCGGGTGAGGCTAATCCATCCACATTCGAAAGATTGGTCGCGAAACGTAACCCACATTGGCTTGCTCCCGTAGGTGTAGCACAAAGAGTCTGCCCTCGAGGACACGGATTCGTACTACCCTAGAATGTATTAAGAACGTGCAATTTTAATTGCGTAAATATTAAATGAAACGACCAATGTGTATTTAAGAGCCCGGATAATGAAAAGTTAAAAATGTACAGGTATATCATATTAAAGATTTCTCTTAATTAATTTCGTTGCTCGTTGAGAGTATAGGTTCGTTTTTGGTATCCTCTTTTATAATTTTACTTTGTTGTTTGGTCCCTTTGAAGTTATTTGTGTTTTGAAGGCGTTGTTGCTCTCTAATTAACGAATTTTTTATACAGTACCTAGGTAGTTGTTACCGATGCCTTGTAATCACATTAAAATATCTAGTCTCTTACCGGTGTTATAATCCTGATGTCAATTTCATTACTATTTGACGCAGTTGTGCAAGATCCAATGGGCGCACAAACGTATCCTCCTGGAAGGTTTTCTGCGGCCGCACTCGATGAAACAGTCGGCCAGGGAAACGCGACAGTTTTGGTATCATCGCTCCCTAGAATCGTTTCCAAACCATTGTATCCATTACTTTCCAAGCCCCTGCGCGCCGGCTCCGCATCGGCCCGATTACAATAGACCGTTACCCACAAATAAATCACACCGCATATCCTCCTCATCATTTCTCTCGCAATTTAAAAATCGAACTAACATTTTCAACGAGCGAATTACTTTTAAATGGTTTAGTGTGTCATAACCCTCGCGCAGGAAATTTATTATATTCCATAATTTGTACAAGGCTGCTGATGAAATATTTTTTTATGATTCAAATTTAGTGAACCGAATGGATTACATTAAAATGAGCAAAAGCGTTTAGTAAAACAACATTTTAATGTGTGTGCAATTCGTGTAATAACAGTCATTTGAAGCTTTTTTTCGCGTATGTTTGCCCATTTATCGAATTTTGTAAACCGCTTTTCGATTTTACCTTTTTTAATTGGACAAAATCTGGCGTTCGTTTATATTTACTATAGCGATTATTTGCAGTTGGTTTAGTAGTAAGGACGTATAGATTATGCAGTTTTTGTACAATGTAGATTGTGAAAATGTTCGCATTGAGTAAGTAGGTAATGCCATTTAACGTGATTTTCATGAAACTTTGAAAAAATATCGGAAATACTAATTTTCAAAAAAAGTATATATGTCATTTATATTGCATATCAATTACATTGGACGCCATTGATAATTATTGTAAGTATTTAAAATGGAATCGAAAAATAAACTATTTTTCTTAGGGAATTGGCTAGCGATTAACCAGGCAAAGTTTTGCACTTTTGTTCATTAAAATCCTATATGGCATGCATTTAACAAAAGAAAGTTGATTTTCATTTGTTACTAACCGCCATCTTGCTTTTCATTTGGACATCATTTTTGAGTCCTATCGAATTGAGCACCTTAAATTTTTCATTGTTTGATAATTATGAAGACATTTAATTTTTTGTAAATCTGCGCCTGTTAGTCCGTCGATGCAATTGTAACGGCTGCTGATAAAACTTCAAAATTACATGGTGCCATCAGTGGCGTATTTACGAAATAGGTACAGGGGGGCCGTAAAGAAAGAAAACCAATTTTTTACAAAAAATTTGGAGTGTATGTGCATATGCATTGTGCATGTATAAATATAGTGGGTATAATAAACACAGAAGGTCCATTTTCAAAATAGTTTCCAATTTTATTGTTTTATCGCGCGCTGGTGTGTAGTTGGCCTGTTCATTCGCTACGGTTCGAGTATTAATTACACTACTACAACACATTTGTACATTTGTCTCAAACGGCGGTGGCCTATTCTACGTTCATATTTGTTTTCTTGCCATAGTCAATGTCATTAGAATGCCGACATAGCGCGCGATGGGCACAGGGGGGGGCACACGACACCCTTATCTGGAATACAGTGTATAAATCCTAGAGTATGCAGGTGCACTCATCGAAATCGTCTCCCGATGCGTAGGGATCTTTGCGACCTACCTGTTTAGATGTCCCATTATTTGATGATTTTTTAACCATGGCTATCCAGCGATTTGTGATCTGAATGACTGTCTAACAACAACAATACTTTGGAGTCTTTAGATGCTCCAAGAAATTCTTGGAAGTGTTTTAACCATAAGACGAAGGACTTTGAGGTCATCCAACCCCTCTCATTGAACAAACCCAATGTTCCTTGGGGTGTCGCATAATTCACTATTTTATATTTTTGCGGGGAAAAATTAGAGCAGGTGGTACAAAATTAGTCACTGAGTTCATGCAGCACTCAAGCGATGTAAAGATCTATTTTTATTTCAGCGTATGAAGTAGTAATACACAACGCAAGGGTTTACACTTGTAAAACAATGCTTATTGCGCAAGTTTTCACAACACTTTATTTTCACTCTGTATCACAGAAATTACGAGGGAAATTATTATCTTGGTCTTTGGATCACGTGCTTGACGAATTTTCAATGGCGGTTAGATTTTTTAAAAAAATAGTCCAATCCAAGATTAAGTGTTAAAACCCAACCCTTTTGACTGATTATAACTATTGGCCCCTGCATGAGGTAAAAAAATAAGGTCTGCATTCTGGTGCTAGAGGACCATAGTGTGTAAATTGTTGTATAGGTGCGAATTGCTTGAGTGTCAATTGTTTGAATAGGAGTTGAACGGATGTGAATATATTTTTGAGATTTGTCCACAATTTCTTTTGTAAAAAAGGCATTTATATAATAAAATTAAATATGTTGCAATTAATGTGATTGTAAATTAACTCGAATTTATTTCTGTTTCAGGTGAGTAAAAGCTTAATTCGTCTTTTTCACGAGAGTACTTACGAGGGTAAGTAATTAACGTATTAAATTCTCAAGCGCGACAACCTTTCATATCGAAAGTCTAGTAAAGTTAGTAAAATGTCCGTAACCAACTCGCCGAAAAACCTCCGTCGCATATGGTAATGGCGATGACAAAAAGCGTGTGTAACTTGGAAAATGTTTTGTAGGTACCTTGTACGTATTTAATTTTCCCCAACAACACGAACATATTTCATGATCGAATCCCTTTTTAATTTGCGCCGGCTATTGTTTACCGACCGTTGTGCGTCATAACTTTCATTGCTAGCTCTTTTAATGGGGTTTTGTAAATAGAAATATTTGATTCTGAATATGATTAATGGATTCGAGTTACAGTTATCATTACTTTTATTTTTAGCTGTAATACTGAGCAACGGGGATCATTTTTATGTACTAATGAGTTTATTTTCTGTTTCGACTCGTATCTCAGGTCATTTGCTGATGGCAATTTAAACAGCTTATTTGTTGTTTGCCTCGTTATTTCAGTATTTGCTAGTACCTACTGCATATTCATGCACATTTACTATTTACGTTTAAACCAAGTGGAAACGACGCTAGCATGAAATAAGTAAACGTCGTTTGTCATTTTCCAAAATGGGAGATAACTACATACAACGTGTGTAGTTTATTTTAGAATGGAACTCTTGCGTTAATTAGTATTTGTCATACAATAGCTTTATTTTCTAGGTAGTCGCTTTCGCGATTAATTAAATGATCTATACCAAGTTTTATGCGATGTTAGTAGTCTCTTGAAAAAGAAAGCTAAAATATGTCTTTGCGAGGAGGATAAAATTCCACAGTTCATTTACAAATCGGCGAAGTCTGATCAAATTCGAACAGATAGGTACTTTTTCCCAAACAAGTGCGCTTATTTCGTAGATTCGTGCATATCAGACGATTCTTTTTGAAATCGGCGCATTCACATTCAAAATAATGCTTGATCTCACAAGTGATTTTTCCATCTGGAATAACAGTCGCAGACTGCTAAATCCGGACTATACAGGCTGATTCAAATTCGAGCGCCACCATACGGATCTCAGAATCTGTACCTGTACGTAGCTTAAATTTGGCAAAGTTGCATATTTTGATGCTTAACAAAGTGCAGATATTCCGAAAAAACGAAATTTTATTTTTTACCGAAATTATTTAAAATATTTCAAAATAAATCACGCATTATTATGGTCACCTTTTTCTCTCTACAAGATGCTAGTTTTAAATTTTAAGTCCGACGTTTCGTCACCATTTTTTTTAAATATTGTTAAAATATCTTCTTTTTTGCCTGACAAACTTTGTCTTGGGTAGTGTAAAAATATTGTATTGTAAGCATCCAAAGATTCCTGTGGCAAATTTGGTGTCCTGTGGTGAAGAGCATGGGCATAGCTTTAATAATAATGCTCTTTATTTTGCAAACAATAATAAATAAACATTACACTGTATAGCAAAAGGTGTCAAAGAAAATTTAAGCAGGTTAAAAGCAAAATTCTTCCAATGTATACGGTTCTATGTTTAGTATTAAGTCTTTCAGTGCGCGCTTAAATTGATTCAAGTTCATGCCATGAAAAGATAGAGGGAGTTTGTTATGTAATTTAATACAAACGTATTGACAGCCTTTCTCTGTTGCCGTTAGTCTGTGTGGTGGATAATTATATAAAACTCCGTTACAACGTGTTTCGTGATTGTGACCTATCTTGAATTTTGCAAACATGCTTCTGTTCTTGTACATAAAGGTACACGCTTCGTATATGTATAATCCTACTAATGTAAATATTTGATGCCTTTTAAACACACCCCTACACGATTCATTATGCCTCATATTGTAAAGTAACCTGATCGCCCATTTCTGTATTTTGAAGATTCTTCTATGTTCCAGACTCTGACCCCAAAATGTTATCCCGAATTTTAGCCTGCCTTCAAAGTTAGCATAATATATCATCTTCAGTGTGCTGACATTTAGGTACTGGTTCATTACCCTCATCGAGTACACCACCGAATTAAGTTTTGAACTTAACTGTTGGATATGCTTAGTCCATTTCAGATTATCTTGGAAGGTGATCCCTAAGAACTTGGTATGATTTGAAAGTGGTAGATAATCGTTACCGACAATAATGCTGTCCGGCATTACCATGTCCGCATATGACTGACCCAGTTTGAAAAGAACACACTTTGTTTTATTCTTATTTAGTAATAGTTTATTATTGCCATATTTAGCCATACGCATACCAAAGACGACGATAGTCTTTGCGCATACCTAATTCGCAATGCCAAGCTATAGCCATACCCAGGAGCACGTTTGCTATAGTTGTTTACACATTTTTTATTATACAAGATGATAAGGGGATGTTTTAACCATCGAGTAAAATAGTTAGTTTCCCTTTATGGTCGTTGTTCCTTTCAAAAATCATCTCAGAGTTTAGACAACTTAAATAGCCACTCTTAAGAAATAATATTGAAATTTTCTTGCCCATTTTTTGCATTCCGCTGTTTAATCTTGAAATTTTTGTTATTAACAATATAGAATTGCATAACAGCTTTAATTTAAACTAGGGCAACCATTATTGTTACCGGAATTCGAAAGTATTGTTTTCCAAAATTACGTCTTCAATTATTTATCATCCTGTATAGACTTAATTTTCGTTTTTCTTATAATCGTATGTCCTAACTTCGTTTTCTAGGTACAGGGTGTAAAAGTTTTTTTTAACAAATCTGTTTGTTATCAATTATTTAAAAACCTTTCAGCCGATTTAAATCAAATTTGGCTAGCTTATTTGTCGTCATAAAGGTGGGAATAAAATAAATGAAAAGTCTTTTAAAAAAACTTTT